GTAATCATCAATAATCAAACTCATAGTGACCTGCAGAATTAACCTAGATGATAGATCACACGTCAGCTGTTGAATGTTCCCACCTGCACTACATTATACCTCTAATCAAAGCCCTACATTTTCACTAGTACCAGAATACTCAAAGAGAACTAGTTGGTGAATGTCCATAATTACAAGGTATGTTTTCCAATCAAAGATCCCAAGGATTTTCACAAACAAATGTGTTGGTATGCACTTATAATTATCTTCATTATAAGTTAGAGGCTAAAGACATATGTCCACCATTTTGAAACTGGGTGCCTTATCCTCAAGTCATGTAACCTCAGCTGTAAGAACTCATACAGCTGTGTGATTTTTCTGAATTGCTGGCATGAGACCAGTTGGGGACCAGATTATGAGTAGTATTTAGATACCTAAATACATAGAGGGTATGTCTACATGTGCAATTAATGCAGAACAATAAACTCGGGCGCTTATTGTGCCGGAGTTTATTGTGCCTGGATGCACCTTTGAATGTGCACCTGGGACTGTAGCACATTTCATAGACATTAGGGCTGGAAGGGACCTTGAAGACCATCAAGTCCAGACCCCTGCCTCAAGGGCAGCAAGTCAGCTAGGGTCAAAGGATGCCAGCAAGATAAACATCCAAACATTTCCTGAACAAGTCCAGAGTTGGTGCCTGCACCACTTCTGAAGGGAGTCTATACCAGGCCTTGGAGGCTCAGACAGTAAAGAAGTTTTTCCTTATGTCCAACCTAAAATGGTCATAGAGGAGTTTGTGACCGTTGGTCCTTGTTATCCCTTGGGGCACTCTGGTGAACAGACATTCCCCCAGACCCTGATTTATACCCCTTACAAACTTATAGGCGGCCACCAGGTCACCCTTGAGCCTGCACTTTTCCAGGCTGAAGAGTCCCATGGCTCTCAGTCTCTCATCATAAGGCCTATTCTCTTGCCCTCTGATCATGCACGTGGCTCTCCTCTGGACTCTCTCTCAAGCTTCTCAACATCCTTCTTGAATTGTGGAGCCCAGAACTGGATGCAGTACTCCAGCTGCGGCCTCATCAAAGCTGAGTACAGTGGGAGGATGACATCCTGAGATTTACTTGAGAAGCATCTATGGATTCAAGCCAGAGTTTTGTTTGCTTTACCAGCTGTGACTTCACATTGGTGGCTCATGTTCATCTTGTGGTCAATCATGACTCCCAAGTCTCTTTCAGCCATGGTGCTAGCTAGCGTAGCACTGCTGAACCTACAAGTGTGCTGCAGGTTCCCCCCTACCCATGAGGTGGAGTACCTTGCATTTTTCGGTATTGAAATGTCATCAGGTTTATATCCTCCTACTTACTAAGCTTATCCAAGTCAGCCTGTATCACTAGCCTATCCTCAGGCATGGACGCTATGCCCCAAAGTTTAGTGTCATTGGTGACCTTGGCCAGTGCGCTTCTGACACCAATGTCCACATTGTTGATAAAGATGTTAAAGAGAACTAGTCCAAAGACAGAGCCTTGGGGAGACACCACTGGTCACAGTGCCATAATGATTTGCTTCCATCAACTACTACTCTCTGGGTCCGACCTCAGAGCCAATTTCCCAACCATGTGGTGTAGCCGAGGCCACAGTTGGCCAATTTTTCCATGAGGAGATCATGGGACACCAGATCAAAGACTTTTTTAAAATTCAGATATATGATGTCAATCTGTTCTCCCTTGTCCAGGTGATATGTCACCTGGTCACAGAAGGAGATGAGATTGGTCAGGCAAGACCTACCCACGACAAACTTGTGCTGGCTGTCCCTCAGGATGTTGCCATCAGCCAGAGTGTCAAGAAGGGTCTCTGATAATTTTCTCCAGAATCTTACTGGGGATTGAGGTCAAGCTAATTGGCCTGTAATTCCCGGGATCTACTTTCCACCCTTTCTTGAAGATGGGTACCACATTGGCCTTCTTCCAGTCTTCAGCTACTTCACCTGAGTGCCACGAGTTTTCGAATATTTTTGCCAATGGTTGGGCTCCTTGAGACCTGGCTGGCAGGGGCCCAGGGAGTTAGGGGGGGCCAGCCTGCCTGCCCTGACCTGGCTCCACATGCTGTGGAGGGGCTGGTTGAGGCACAAGGGTGCTCCAATGCAGGACTAGCCAGCTGGCAGCTCCAGGACTGAAGCATATTCATGCCCCAGCATATTCATGCCCCAGCCAGCCACATCAGCATTGACATGTGAGGTGCTCTGAAGTAAAAAGCTCCACAGCAGGAAAGTACTTGTATTTATAAGTACTACTCTGCTGCACAGTTTATTAGTTTACTCCAGCCTAATAGTCCTGCATGTATAGACACTGAAAGGTTTAATGCAGAGCTAATTATTCAACTCCATAGTAAATGTTTCGTGTAGATATGCCCAGATAGAGACTTGTGAAAAACCTACTAAGTGCTAATGTAACTAAATGGTCTTAAGTACCAACCTGTGGAGTTACGTGCCTAACTTTATGTGCCCGGCTTTGGCCAAATAATTAGGCTAGGTATGGCAGTGATGGTCAGGACTTCAGTCTCCTAGAGCTGCACACTAAACACTGGACCATCTTGCCTCACTTCCCCCCGCCCGACATCTGGGATATGCTCATTGCAGTCAGGCTAACAGACAGACATACCACTGTCAACAACAAGACTGGCCTTCTTCCCAAGTAGTCGGAGGCAGCACCAGTGAGTGGAGAGAAGAAGAACTGCAGGATGGAAAATATGGAGCCAATCAGACCTAGAAAAGATATGGCATTAGATTCACTGCTTTAGTTTTAAACACTAAAACAGTCAACATGTTCAAAGCCATTCACTTCACTATGACCCTCTGACGTCAGATGATGGCACGAAGAGAAGTGATCTCACTGAAACAACCATTTTGACTAATACTGAACCTATGCTGCTTTTACTTGGAGACAAACTAGAACAAGCTGAGGATGCTGAAACAGGTTTGTCCTCCTCCTTTTCTTTAAGTAGGGTCTTGCATCTCTTTCATATAAATGCAAAATGTAGATTCTCTGCTATTTTCTGAGGAAGCACTTTTCTGGTCACAGAGAACAGATAATACAGGATGTTTTGGTCTAATCTGCACACAATTCTTAGTTCCTTTAGGTACTTTTTCACTGTTTGAACTTGAAGCTGTCATATTAATTAGCTTATCTTTTCTTCCTTTTCTATTGAAGGTAGCAGCAAGACATTGACATACACAAGGCTCCCACTTCAATGACAGTCAGCCCAGCAATCTCAAGGATCCTTTGAATGTTGCATCCTGCTCCTGTGATCTTCAATTCCTCTCTTCTTTTGCCATTTCTAACTCAGTGCTCTCATTAATTTGCATTGCATTAGTGACAAACTGGTAAAAAGAAGCCTTGTCACAGTTCTCTTCTTTAAAAGGTAAAAGCTGAATTATACATCTAACATCCATCCAGGCTGAAAATGCAAACGCTAAAAAAGCAGCAATGAAATCCTGCTTGCATTGACTTCAAAGAGTTTACTGCCAAAGTTTGATAGGTAATATCTGGGAAAGAAAAAGGGCTTTGTGGTTGCTCAAATACAAAAGTTTTTAAAAAGCCAAAAGTACATTTAGAGATGCACAGTTGTAGTTTTGTTCCCATACTAATTGTAGCTATCTAGGTTTTCACATTCTTTGCCAGTTGTTGTGTTCATATATAAAGACATCGACATAGAAAACATCCTGAAACCACCACAAACTTGCAGTTTTATTCATACCTCCAAACAAGACACTGTTGTACTTCCTCTCCGGGGGCACCCCAATCATTACAGCGAACGAGTCCACCCTGCGCTGCAATGACAAATAGAAGCCATCCTGCAAAAGGAGAATGGAGCAATTAGTGGGAACTTTGGGAAACAAACTCTTTCCTGCATTTGTTTGCAAAAACATAGCATCATGGCTTCTGATCCCAAAGGTCAAGTTTAAACGCATCCATTCCCCTAGCTCATGCCTAAGGCCCAATGTAACAACTCTCCTCATGCCCTTCCCTGTCTCCCTCAAAAATCAACTGCTAGTAGCAATAGAAGAAAGCAATCCCACAGAGCTATGCATTGAAGCAGCAATGGAATAGTAACATAGGGCTAGAAGAGACCTCCTGGGTCAGAGGCAAATCCCCTGCTATAGCAGAGGAATGCACAAGCCCTGTGCAAGCTCCCAACGCCCTGCTTTTCCTTTACCGCATAGCCATAACGATTCCATTGCAAGTGGTCATATACAACAAATTTGGTCCATGACAGCATGAAAATATATGACTGGATTATGGACACTACCCGTTACAGAGGCTAAACCTGGATTTTATGTATAATACAGCTTAGATACAATATACAAGCATATCTCTCACCTCAGCCAGGTCTTCTGCATCCTGCTGGAGACCCAAGATTCTCCACTGTGCCCCCCTACCCTAAAAATCATGCATCTCCAATACTAGTCTCCTTTCCTCATTCAATAGCCTCAAATAACCAAGGAGGTTACAAATGAGCAATACAAGGTTCTCCATCTCTTCCACATCTTAGGGCCTCAGGAGCAACAGACTGTTATTAGGAAGGAGACCCAAGTCTCATACTTAGCTCTATATAAAGTTCTAGACCACCAGACTAACCCAAACTCCTCCTCTCTTACTCAAGTTCTTCCTGATTCTGACAACAAATATAGTTGGTTTGGACAGCTGCACCAACTGAAAAGGGCCTCCAATGTGCAAAAACATTATCCAATCCAGCACAGGACTGTGAGGTGCCCTAGTAACAAACTGACTAGCATTTCTCCAACTAAGACCAGGGCCTCAAAAATCCTTGAAACTCATCACCATACTCGTTACTAATCTGCTCTGGGAAAGGTCAAAGCTGGGGCACTGCCCTCCACCTGAACCCATTAATCTGAGAAAACCAACTGGTGAGTATTCACAAATACATGAAATTTTGCACTTCCACACAGTGCTTTCCATCCAAGGATGTGGTGTCATCATCCTAGTCATGCTGCTGGAGGACCAAAACAGAGCAGAGAGATGTGTGACATCTCCAGCAATGTAGCAGATGGTAAAAGAGTATATTCCTGAAAGGGAACTTAAGTAGTACAGAACAAAAAAAGTAAGGGCACTTAAACAAAGATAAGAAAAAGATTTTAGGGCTGTATTATAATAACCTGGTAGAGATGACCCTGGAGCCATGTGCATTGCTTTAACACAGTGGTGCCCAAACCTTTTGCTTGGTGGACCAAATGGGCAGAGCCCAGTCCATCCATGGGTCAGATCCAGGCAGTGGTCCCAATCCAGTGTCTGAGTGAGTGGGGGTAGGAGGCAGGCTGGTCTCAACACAACCCTGCAGGGGAAAGGTGTTTGATCCAGCCCATGAAGAGAAAAGCGAATGTGTTCCAGCCCCGAGAGGGAAGGGGGCACAGCCAGGCCTCAAACTGGCCCACAGCAGAGTAGGGGGCATAGCTCAGCCCCAACAAGAAGGAAGGGGACATGGCTCAGCCCTGCAGAGGAAGGGGATGTGGCCAGACCCCAGCCCACTCTCACAGAGAGAGAAGGGGGTGCAGCTAAGCCCTGCAGGGGGTAAGGGGGCATGGCCAGACTCCAACCCGGCCCCATGGACAGAAGGGGATGTGGCCCAGCCCCAACACAGAAGTGGGAAGGAGGTGTAGCTTAGCTCTGACCAGCAGCTCATGGAATGGGATCTGGGGACTCAGTAGGGGGGAGGGTGGTAGTATTAATGGCCACCACTCCCCTGCTTCCAAATTTCCAGACCTGTGGGGAGCCCCACAGGCCAGCTGCGATGGCTCCATGAACTACATTTGGTCTACGGCCTGGAGGTTGAGCACCCCTACATTATCCAAAGACAACTACTTACCTATAAAACCTAATACTAGTGAAAAATGTGAGTGTTTTGCCTTCCAACCTAATGGCTGGCAATGGGGACTGAGCCACCACACTAATAGATCTGAACACGCAGGGAGAAAGGAGAAAACACCCAACAGATAGATAATAACCAAGCAGGAAGCTCACAAGAGACAAGTCAGGAACACTTCATGCAAAACCACAAGGACTGCGACAAGGATGTTCCTGGGGATGTAAAGTTCCTTCTGCCTTGCACAGCCAATTCTAACTTCCTGCTCTCCTAGCCAAAAAATACAGAGCACAGACTACAGACTGTTACCAGGGGACAGGGCTTCACCTCAGTCTGACAAAAGCAATGAGCCTGGCTTTAAAGGAAACTGTTCATCTCTTCACCTATCACTATAGGGGCCCAAAGAGGACAGATTTAGGACAGTATCAAGAGCTAGCCCTTTAGAAGTCTCCAAATTTCTGAACAACCGTATCCCCAATATTTGCTCAGCAGCAAAAGGGAGAGAGTCTCACTAGACATAGCAAAACAAATCAATTAACTTCAGAACAGTTCAAACACCTCCCCAGACTGGGGACTGGAATTTATTCTGCATGCTACTATTTGAGCTGCGTCCAGAAAATAGGTCTTCACAGTCCTCCTCTCTCTATATCCCATTTTTCGTTTTACTTTTTGCCCAGATGCATTTTCAGCAGGTTGTTTCTGCTTACATTGTTCCTGCTGTAGTGCTCAAGGATTGAAGGAAGAAGTGGCAAGATGATTGTAAAGCCCAGCAGGTCTATGAAGAGTGCCACAAAGACAGTGGTGATCACTCGCCTAGAGCCATCTCCAGCCTCTGTTTTGTCCTTGGTGGGGCTGCTGCTTCCCCCCAGTCTCAGGGACATGTTCTCAGGCATTGCACATCTGAAAAAAATATAATCACACTCACTGAACTCTGAAAGCTTTCAGGCACTTTGGTTACTCCACCTAGACAGGACAAGCTTGCTGTATCATTCTCACTCTCTTTCCCCTGGGCAGAGCACGAAGTAATTTTTACAATCTGTGGTTCACTAGCATGCTTGGTTTTTTAAACAGACCAGCCTCTTGATTCTTGATCCTTATCGACTCAGCTCATTCGCTCTCGTAAAAGCAGGCTATGGTGGTAAGGAGTTTGCGCAGCACTATTCCAGGGAAAACTCCAAACACTCAGTACAGCTCAGGCTTGTTATGACACGAAGAGTTCTTAGTCACATTACTATTCCTTTGCAATGTTTATACTTTTTCAAGCCTTATTTATCTATTTGTCTTTCCTGCCTAAAGCAGGGGGGCTGGACCCAATGATATCACAAGGTTCCTTCCAGTCCTAAACTTCTGTGAATCTGCGAATGTTTCAAATCTAGCATAAAAATTGTTCCATTTCATGATTATCCTGATTACCAGAAGTCTCTTTAATTAGGTAGCTAATGGGTTGTGTGTATTTAGATAAACATCTGAAATAAAATAGATATGCTGACCAATGTACGGGGGGTCCTTGCCAGAAAATTCATTCTTATAAAGAATAACCACAAAACAAAACATTAGATTTTTAAATTACTGAATTGCCTTTAAATCTATACCAAAACCATAGGAAGGATATAAGTGTAGGGAAAGCAGAGCTTTTTAACAGACACCATTTCATTTTCTTGCACATAACTGCTAACAAGACATTTTCCTTATTTGTATTCCAATCTCACCTAAACCCCTGGTTGGGACCCTCCTGTTTGCTACTGTGCAAACACAAGACAGCCCCTGTCCCGAGGAGGTTGTATTCTGTAAGACACAACAGACCATCAGTGATTTCTTGAACACTGCAACACAATTTCTCCCCAGTTTCCACATACACAATAACCAATGCCTGCAAGGTCCTGACAACTTCAAAAACAGAACAAGATTAAATGCTGCATTTAAATTTACTAAAGCAAGCAGTAAAAGTAGAAAACATGAAGCATACAGGGCATTATCTGATTTCAAGTCCGTCAAGTGCAAAACCTCAGCTGACTTCACTGATGCAGGATTAGGCTCACTTAGTAATTTCAGGCATTTATTCTTTACAAAAAAGATACTCCATACTATCTGCACAAATCACAGGGAACATAAAACTGTGGAACACTAAATCTCATGCAGAGATCATAAAACTGGTTATATATTCATTGGACAAATGTTTTTGTGACATTTATCTATCACGGGCTGTGTTTACTGCAGCTGAAATATTAGTGCACAAACAAGCACAGGAGGAGAAAACCTGCTATCTATTTATGAACCTCACCAATATAATTATGCCTTCTGACCAGGGCTCCCAGACACCGCTGCACACATGCACGTGGCCAAGAATACAGCCAGGCAGTGGAGAGAGCAGCACCCTGCAGGCAAGTCTGTGGAGAGGAATGGGTATAGGGTAGGGAAGGGGCATGCAGGGGGTGACTGAGGCCCCCACAGGGAGGGAAGAAGTGGGGCTGGGGCAAGGAGGCAATGGCAGGGACAGGGGTACTGCCCAGCCAGGGTGGTGAATGGGACCCGGGACTGGGCCAGGGAGCAAGATGGAGCCACAGGTGGCTCGTTCAGGAGGGCAGTGGGGTGGGGAGGCCCACCACTGTGTGCACCCCCTGGGGTAGCATGGGGGAGCATGTGTCCCTCCCCAGATTTGTGTCCAGGGCAGATGCAGAGCTCTGTGGGCTCAGGGCTCTCTGCTCTGCTGCCTTTGCCCAAGGGGCTCCATGTCGGCCATGCATCCCCAGCAGCAGCAGGGGTGGCGAGTTGTGCCTCCCGCTACCAGGCAGGCAGGAGACACGCAGCAAATGCAGGGCCCCCAGGGCAAAGAGAGCAGAGCAGAGAGCCCCGAGCCCACAGCGAGTAGCCCGCATCTGCCCTCATCCTGCTTGGCTCCAGTCCGGTTAAGTGTCCCCATGCTTAAAAATAGTGGTGGATTTAGTTCAAATGCCCCCCACTGTTTTTAAGCGCCGGGATCCCCTGGACAACCGGCCCATGGCTCTGTCCCGCTCCCTGCCCTGGCTCCAGGTCCTATTCACCAGCCTGGCTGGGAGCACCCTCAGCCCCTGCCCCACTTCCTCCCTCAACGCGAGAGCCTCGATCTGCCCTCCCCCACACCCCTTCCCCTCCACAGACTTACCTGCCGGGCACCACTCTCCACACTGCCCAGCTGCATTGCTGTAAATCGGTTATCGGATTGGTATTGGCCAATATGGCTGGTCAGTAATTGGCTACTGGCATCAGCCAAGAAAATCTTTATCGATGCACCCTAGAGACCCCTGGTCACACACCACTCGCTCTCCCCTTCACGGTCCGCCCTCTGCCGCCCTGTGACATGGGGGCTCAACTGCCGTCTGGGGTTTCTTCTAAAAAATGCTTAGCTGCCAAATCTGTTGAGGGGGCAACCCTGGCGTTTCAGGGCGTGCCCATGTCCGCCAGGCAGCCCCAGTCTTCTGGGGTCAGCGACGGTGGCATGGATATCGCTCCCCAGGAAAACCTTCAGTCCCCCACGGGCCTCCTCACACACAGGCCCCGAACTGCACTTCATGCGCCTTGGTGGGCTGAGCCCCAGGCGCATCGTGGCACCTCCTGCCTCCAACCCCTTCCCACACCCAGCCAGCCGTGCCAATCTCACCGTCCGGCTTCTGGGGAAACGATGGCAACGGGACGAGCCCCAGGGCTCGTTCAGGCCGACCCCCCTGAGGCAGGGTCAGCCCCCGCCCAACCGCCGTATGAAGACTGCATGAGGCCACCCTCCCTCACACCCGAACCGGGGCCTCAACCCCCGGGCACTGGGGCGGCCGGGAGCCGCGAAACCCCCGCAGCAAAACAGCTGGCGGATGCCTGGCCGGCGACCAGCGCAAAGGCGCCGAGAGGAGCGGCCCGGCCCCGCCTCCGCTTCCTCTTCCGGGCGGGGCGGGGCGGGGCGGGGCGGGGCCGAGCCGAGCCGGGCCGAGCC